TGCCTATTGTACATCCTTTAATTTAGTTTTTACTGTACTTATGTATAATGTGGCGTACAAAAAAGAATAAATAAATAAATCATCATCATCATCATTACAGCCCTCCACAAGTCCACTGCTGAACATAGGCCTCCCCCAAGTAATGCCACAAAGCACGGTCCTGAGTCACCTGCATCCATCGACTTCCTGCATATCTTACCAGGTCGTCACTCCATCTAGTAGGGGGTCGCCCTACACTACGCATACCGGTACAAGGCTGCTACTAGAGAACCTTTCTTCCCCATCGGTTATCGGTTCTTCGAGCTATATAGCCGGCCCATTGCTACTTCAGCTTACTAATAAATAAATAATAATAAATAATGTAAAGGAACTTAGGAAAATAAATATTTTTAATTAGTTTTAAAATTTTACTTATAAATCCAAATTGATATATTTAAATGATTAAAAATTTTGTTATAATTATTTAAGGCATTATTTCTCACAATAATAAAATAACGAAATTAACCAAAAATAATAAAAAAATTGGCATGCACTTATAGCACGTTAAATTAAAAGAGAATTCTTAAATTAAACATTTAGCAATATAAACAAAACTATTCATTTCTTTTTTGTAGTTTTACATATTTTAAAAGTATTACTTAATATTATAAATGTTTAAAATTGAAAATGTACCGTTATTACTGTAAATAGTTACTGTTAATACCGATGTTCCATATTAAAACACGCTATACAATAATGTGGCTGGGATGGGCAGTCAGAGCAATAAGTAGAAACTTCCTTAGTCTTGATTTTGGCCATCTTTCTACCCATATTTGTATTGTTAATTCTATAGCATCCCTGGCACCATCTTCGTGTTTTTCTAACTTGAACTTCTTTGGTTTTCAATTCGTGTTTCAAGCGCCTTGGTCTTGAGGTAATTGCCACTGTTAGCTCGGGCTCAGACTTGACGAGGTATTTAACGATGGCTTTTCTAAAATGCACTACAGAAATTTTATTTTTTGTTGTCGTTTTATAGAGAACCATGGCATTTACTATTGCTGTATTCAAAACAATTCGCATGCTAGCTTTCGGTACCATTTCACCGTTTTTCGCAGAGGTGATGAGTACGCCGTCATCTGATCTGATAGGTCTACGGCGGATTTGGCTTTGTTATAATCAATAACAATTTGTGGTTTGTTCGCCGCTTGACCCCTTCTATTAGTAGTCTTAACAAACTTCGTTGAATGTTTAGTTGACAATAATGACACTTCTCTTTTATCACGCCATTTTGTTGACCGTAATACCTGTAATGTACACGTCAATAAAAGGCAGAGATCTGGTAACGACTGTTTATTGAAAACTTAAATTAACTCGCATCACATTTACTATCGAAGTACCGACATAACACTTTCCCCCTAAATTTTAAATAATCTAACTCAAACAGACGAAAGACATGCCATTTTTTTTAAGTAAAAGAATAATAAACTACAATGTCAATACAACAATGTGTAAAGGAAACACCGTTAAATTCACTAAGCATGGTTAAGCACCGAGATGCCAATATAATACATCAGATAAACTTATATTTATATCTATCTATATTAAATATCGATAGTTGCTAGATGTGTTTCACTCCTCATTAATAGCTGTGCTTGCTAGTGATGAGTGTGATGTATGAAAACAAACCATAAAATATCTTTACATCTCTTTTAATTTATATATGCAGCGTAATGCAGCCTTTCTATAGACAACAATATTCTTCGGTGTTGTCGGTTGTTGTCTGTTGGTGTTGTCGTCACGTCTTTCAGACACGGTTCTCGAGGGGGGCGACTCCTGTGCCAGTTGTCATTCATCTGCGACTTGATCGTCCTGATCAGTGTCAGGCTTCGCCATTGGCTCTGTATCAGTTTTTTCAGTTTTGTCATACGCCTCTTCTTCCACCTTTGACAATGAAAATCTAGACTTTGGATGTTTAGTTGTTAAGATTTGATCAATGTGTCTCTTGTGTACACGACCATCTTGAGACTTTACTGTATAAGAAACTGGACTTTCTCGACGTACCACCGTCCCTTCAGTCCACTTTCCCCGGTTTTGAGAATAGTCCCGTAGTAGCACGGGATCTTTGGGCTCGGCCACCCGCAGAGCGGTGTCTCGTCGCTGCTCACTAATCTCCTGCCGCTGTCGCACCAAGTCTCGTGTGTCAGGCCGCAGCAGGTCCAGCCGACCACGCAACCGTCGACCGAACATAAGCATTGCGGGCTCGCACACAGTGGTACTATGTTCAGTGTTTCTATATGAGAAAAGAAATTTACTGAGTGCCGTATTAATATTTTCATTATCAACTTGGGCCTTTTTTAATGCCCTCTTAACCAGTTTCACAGCATTTTCAGCCGCCCCATTGCTCGATGGGTGATATGGTGCAACTAGAGTATGGCGAATACCGTTAATGTCCAAATATTTTTTAAATTCTGCCGAGGAGAAAGGCGGTCCATTGTCGCTAACAATTCTTTTAGGTAAGCCAAAACGCGCAAATTTTTTTCGTAAACTATCTATTACCACCGCAGCGGACGTACCAGAAACATGGTCAACCTCGATCAATTTTGTATAAGCATCGACAATAACTAAATAATACTTATTATTAAATGGCCCTAAAAAGTCTAAATTTAATCGAGCCCATGGTTCCTCCGGCCACGGCCAGGAGTGCAGGGGAGCCGGGGCGGGAGCTGAGCGCTGCGACCGGCATGCGACGCATTCCTGTACTGTTCGCTCGATATCAACGTCCAATGTTTCCCACCAGACATAATTTCGCGCTATTTGCTTCATTTTTACGATGTCTGGGTGGCCGTCGTGAATTTCTTTCAAAATTGACAATCGTAATGATTTGGGAATTACGTAACCATATATTTTACTCAATAAGGAATCTTTAGCCGTCTCAATTTTAATGTCTTTAAAACTAAGTGGAAAATTTTCTTGCACAAAATTAAGGTAACTACAGTCGCTGTCCTCACATTTGACTCTGCTTCTAGTAGAATTCAAAGGAAGACGAGAAAGCGCATCGGCGTGACAATTTTGAACTGATTTAATAAATTCGATTTTAAAATTATAAGCAGATAGCTGAACGGCATAACGCTGTAGTCTACTTGCGGCTGTCACAGGTATTCCTTTATTCGGCCCAAAGATGTAACTCAATGGACGATGATCACTACGTAAAATAAACTGTCGCCCGTATAAGTATTGGTGGTGCTTGCGCACACCGAACACAATTGCGAGTGCCTCCTTGTCCAGCTGCGAGTAATTTTGCTCGGCGGCGTTAAGTGTACGCGACGCGCAGCACACGGGTCGCTCACTGCCGTCTGCGTACCGCTGAGCGAGCACGGCGCCCAGTCCGTATGCGCTGCTGTCCACTGATAACACCAACGGCAGAGTAGGATCGTAGTGTGCCAATACTGGTGCACTGCTCAATAATTTTTTCATTCGACAAAAAGCAACCTCACACTCATCATTCCATTGCCATTTAACATTTTTTTGTAATAAGTTGTACAACGGTTTCATTATATCACTTATATTTGAACAAAACTTTGAGTGAAAATTAACAAGGCCCATAAAACTTTTTAATTGAGTTTGAGACATTTGTTGGAGATTGGGCTGCCATAATGGCTTTAATTTTGTTAGAATCCGTGTGCAAGCCGTCCTTATCAATTTTATAACCTAAATACGTTACACAATCCTTAAAGAATTGACATTTACTGAAATTGATTCTTAACCCATTTTGTTTTAACCTTTCTAACACTGCTCTCAAATTAGCTAAATGGGTAGTTTTATCCTTTCCAGTTACACATATGTCATCTGCAAATACAGCCGTTGAAGGCAAGCCACTCAATGTTTCCTCCATAATCTTTTGAAAGTTTTCAGGAATACATTTTATTCCAAAAACTACTACTCTTTTGTAAATGAACGTCCCGATATGAGTGGTAATTGCTGTCAGCGGCTGTGATTTTTTATCTAATAAACATTGTTGGAACGCATTTGATAAATCAAGTTTTGTGTACTGTTCGCCGCCCCCCAAGGTCGCAAAAAGTTCTTCAATCCGCGGTAAAGGATAATGGAAATCTTTTAAAATCGGATTTATTGTTATTTTATAATCCCCACATATTCTGATATAGCCATTCGATTTAATAACAGGGACAATAGGCGTACCGTATTCTGACCTTTCTACTTTGTAAATAACCCCTTCGTGTTCTAAAGGCGTTAGTACACCTACGCATTCGTATGCGGCAGCGAGTCTCTGCGGAACTACTGCGTAGTGAAATATCTGCGGAACGTTAGCATACAGCAATGTTTTCGCAACTTTTTCGCAATGATATGCCATTGTAATTTTCGACGACTGCAGGTGCAGACGTAATTTCAGAATGTCATCTCAGTCATCGCTTTCGGATTCTGAAGAAGATGAATTGTTATTGCTGGTGTCAGTACTAAAATAAACTGTGCTTAGAACTTCAATCACATGAAGATCGTTTCTATACCTATTTCAGAATGAAGCCAGAAACTTTTGAATATTTACACAATCTTCTTGAACCTCATATTAAAAAGAAAAATACAAACTACAGAGAGGCTATTCCAACAAAAGAAAGACTGGCACTTTGTTTAAGGTAAGAAAATTTATTACTTATAGGTAATGTTTAAGTATTTATTCACGGTTCATTCCAATTACAAAGAAATTCATGTATATTTTTTTGATGTCGTGTTGTGTTCTCGTTTTTTTATTGTCGTGATACTTGGGTGTGTGTAATTCTTCTGCCACTGGGTATGTGTATCAGTGTAGGAGTTAAAACGTTTTGAGTGTGTGGGATTGAATGTGTTTGCGTGTTAGGTATATGTATCTGTGCAGTTGAAACGTTTTGAGTGTCTGGGATAGAATGTGTTTGAGTATTAGGTATGTGTATCTGTGCAGTTGAAACGTTTTGAGTGTCTGGGATGGAATGTGTTTGCAGTTCTTCAGATGGTGTCGATCTTGAAATGTTTCAGTCGTTATCGACGTAGTAAAAATTGGGAGTACTAGAGGATGAAGCATTGCTGAAATTAGAATTTGGCCGGCTATTATTCAATTCTTCAAGTTGAGCCTCAGTTATAATTTGTGTAATTTGAAGTTTAATAATAGCTTGCTTTCGTAGAGAAAATTTCTTTACAGTATGGGCATAACCTAAAAAATCCATGTCCATTCGATCACACGGTATTTTGACAAGATTTTCTGGAGCGTTTCTGTCCGTAGTACCCGATTTTCGAGTCTTTAAATAATTTATAATCTTCTCAGCAGGATCGTCGTTGCTTACACGGCGTCGTCTTTTCCGGGATACTTCAGTTGCAATTTCAGCTGTAGTTTCAGCTGTAGACCGTGCTGTCTCCAGTTCTTGAACGACGAGCTCGTTCTGTTCATTATTTGAAACCTGTTCGGCTTCTGTAGAATTTTCATAATCATTCTCTATAGATATAGTACTGGTATCCAGTGTACTTTCAGTTTGTCTCAAGTTTGTGGATGAATCTATGAACGACATCTGTTCAGCCCATTGCCAATTAGCAAGCTTCTTCGCGGCTTGTCCACTGCTTGTTTGCTGATCCTGTTTATATTTTTTATAAGTGTCCCTTAGGTTTCTCCATTTATTTTTCATAGTTTTAACTGTAACAATATTTCAGGTTTTTAGCAACTGGTGACACATACACAACAATATATTTTTCTTATCGTTTGGGTGAATGCACCGTTTCAAAGATAGTAACTCAAGTATGCGAACAAATTTGGAAGATACTACAGCCAGAGTACATCCCGGTTCCTTCTACTAAAACGTGGTTGGAAATAGCTGAAGCATTTCAAACAATATGGGGTTTTCCTAATTGCCTCGGGAGTATTGACGGCAAGCATATTGTTATTAAATGTCCACCTAACAGCGGCTCACTGTTCTATTGCTATAAAAAACGATTTTCTACTGTGTTATTGCCAATAGTTGATCCACATTACAAATTTACTTACATAGATGTAGGATCATATGGTAAAGATTCCGATAGTACAATATTTGAGAACTCATCATTTTATCAGCTTTTAAAAAGTGGACGGGATCTGAATTTGCCAGCTCCAAAACCTTTGCCAGGTTTCCAACAGACTACACCACATGTATTCATTGCAGATGGAGGATTTAAATTAGAAACCTTTCTAATGAGACCTTTCACTAGAGACGCAGCAATGAATGACAATGATAAAAAAAGATTTAATAAATCATTAAGTAGGGCACGAGTAGTAGTAGAATGTGCGTTTGGCATTTTAGCACAAAAATTTAGAATATTCTTGAGGCCCTTTGAAACAGATTTGAATAATACTATTAAAATTGTTAAAGCTGCAGAATGCTTGCATAACTTATTGCAGATACAAGAAGGTGCACACACATACGAAAATAAACAATTTTCGGACACTTTAAGAGCATTCGTACCAATGCATGCCAATAGACATAGGGCAGACTTCATCATCATCATCATCATCATCACAGCCCTTCACAAGTCCACTGCTGAACATAGGCCTCCCCCAAGTAATGCCACAAAGCACGGTCCTGAGCCACCTGCATCCATCGACTTCCTGCATATCTTACCAGGTCGTCACTCCATCTAGTGGGGGGTCGCCCTACACTACGCCTACCGGTACGAGGCTGCCACTCGAGAACCTTTCTTCCCCATCGGTTATCGGTTCTTCGAGCTATATGGCCGGCCCATTGCCACTTCAGCTTACTAATCCGTTGGGCTATGTCGGTCAATCTGGTTTTACTGCGGATATCCTCATTTCTGAGTCTATCACGCAGAGAAACTCCGAGCATAGCCCTCTCCATAGCTCGCTGAGCGACCTTGAGCGTCCTCATACGGCCAGCAGTGAAGGACCACGTCTCTGATCCGTAAGTCATCACTGGCAACACGCACTGGTTGTACACTTTAGTTTTCAGAGATTGAGGTATACCTGACGAGAAGATATGTCGTAATTTCCCGAACGCTGCCCAGCCGAGTTGAATCCGTCGATTGACCTCTCGGTCGAAGTTGGACTTACCTAGTCGGACTATTTGTCCCAGGTAAACGTACTCGTCAACAACTTCGAGCATAGTGCTCACAACAACTACCGGCATAGGTGTGACATGGACATTAAACATAATCTTTAATATTTTATCATTTTTAGGGCAGACTTAGCAGCGTTTAATCACAATTTGTAAATTATTTCAAAGAAAATTAAAAACATAAAATGTATGCCTGTATGAAATATAAACAATAAATTTCTTACCATCTATCCGAGTCTTTTCTTGAAGTTTTCTCCATGCTACCTCTTTTTTGTACGTATTTTTATAATCTGCGTGTCCAATTGCGTATAATACGGGATAATCTCGAATAGAATGCAAAAATAATCCAGTATTTTCGGCATCCATGACGCGAAAATCTGTCCTCACCGACAGAACGCGAGCTGACGCTTTGCGATGCGAAACATCACTAGTGAAACGTATGCGTCTGTGTAACGGCCATTTCGCAGGTCCTTGCGAAACAATACTGACAAGGACGCAACTATTTCATCTATCTATGTGCTAGAGTGAGACATATCATATACGAAAACCTGCCACACTACTTACAGTTTTTTCGTTGTTTCGCTACCGCATACGAATGCGTAGGTGTACTAAAGGCGTAACCGTTTGAGTTCGCTTTCGACTCGCGGGCGCAGTGCCAATGGCAGCGGCCGGGCCTTCACAAACACAGGAGTTTCAACCTTGAGGTGCAGCGATACAGGTGACTTGAATGTACCTAAACCTTCTGAGAAAACACTTCAGGGAATTCGTCTCTCAAAGCTTTTGCTACCGACTCCGAGTCGCTAATATTGTGACATTCAACAATTTCTATTTTCAATTTCTTAATCCACGTATGGCCCATTGATGGTGGACCGCCGTTTTCAATAATAAATAACTTAAGCATCGCCGACTTTGAACCACAGATAACCATTACCACAATATAACCGATGGTCTCGATAACGTCGCCAGTATATGATCTCAGACATAACAATTTAGTTTGAATAGGTACATGTTTAAAATGTTTATCATAAAAATGTTTCGAAATAGCCGATATTTTACTGCCCGTGTCAATTTCAAATTTACATGGCACCTTTTCTACTACTAAATTCGCATAGTACGGTCCGTCACCGTCATTACTTGTAATCAAGTTAAAAAAAATTACAGTCATCATCTGAGTCCGAATCATATAAAAGTACTGACCTTTGTTCTCCTTTGCACTCTTAAGTTCACTTTTACCTTGACACGTTACTTTTAAATGGCCCTTCTGGCCGCACGCATCACATGTATAATTTTTAAAATGACACTTACCGGCTATGTGACCGCAACGCGCACAAAGCCGACGCTGTGACGTCACCGTCGTAGGCACGGGAGCCGCTGCCGAACCGGTGCAGGCCGCCCTCGCCGCCGGCCGCCGCTGCGCCGGCCCCGCCAGCTCCGCCAGCGCTCGCGCCGCCCGATGCGCATGCCGTGCTCGCATGCCGCTCAGCTGCCTCGAGCGCCGTGGCCAACTCCACAGCCCTTTTGTAGTTTATACTCTTTTCGGCAAACAATCTTGACCGCATCTCTTCGCTGTATAAACCCGACACGAACTGATCACGAAGGTTTTCTTCCAGAGTATTACCGAAGTTGCAGGTTTTAGCCAAGTGTTTTAGACCATGTAGCTAAACACGAATACTTTCTCCCTGTTGTTGCGTCCGCTGCCAAAAAATGTGTCGCTCCGCTATTTCAGATCCCTCCGGCTCCAAATGATTTTTGACGAGTGTAACCAATTCTTCGAACTTCTTTGTGTCCGGTTCCGCGGGTGAACATAAATCACAAATAAGATTATAGCACTCGGAACCCACTAACGTCAAAAGCGTAGCTACTTTTAGATTGTCATCGATACTATTTAACAATATAAATTGTTTTACGCGGCGAATGTAACTGTCCCAGTTTTGGCTTTCGATATTAAAAGGTTCTATTTTCCCAATCGGCATTATGTCAAACAAAATTCCACGTAAGTACCGAACTTCTAGACCGACTGCGCCAATGTAATGTACACGCGAATAAAAGGCAGAGATCTGGTAACTACTGTTTATTGAAAACTTAAATTAACTCACATCACATTTATTATCGAAGTACCGACATAACAATACCTTTATCACTTTCGGCAGCAACGTAGTCCCCTGGTTTTAATTTAATATTCATTATATGTTTCGGTAAATTCCGTCTATTTTTTCGCAGTGTACCCACTAAATGTATGTCTTCATTTAACAACTTTTTGTCAAGATCCACACTGGTATAATAATTGTCCGTATATAAAGTATGTCCTTTGTTGAATATATGTTGACAAAGTCTCATTACGACTTTTGTTGGGGTTGTATTTATCGTATCACTGTGTTTACCAGCATATACTTCTAACTTACAAGTATACCCAGGGACTGTACACAGTTTAAAAATTTTAATACCACACTTGTGCTTCTTTTGTTTTATGTATTGGCGAAAAATAATTCTGCCACGAAAAGGTATCATACTCTCGTCAACACACAAAGATTCACTAGGTGTAAAAACGTTTTAAAATGTATGTTTAGGTCATCTCTTAGGCTTCTGATTTTGTACAGACGATCATTTGATGGAGCTTTACTGTTGTTTTAGGGAGTTTAACAAGGCCCATGTGTAACACAATTCCATAAAACCGCCTTTTATCTCTGTTTTGTTAGTGTCGTTCCATTGTTTTAATCGAGGAACCCTCCTTATAGTATTTTTCTGCTTAGCTATTTCTTCAAAAATATCATCGGAAATCATTAGTTTATAGAAGTCTTCGGGTTGGCAAGATGCTAAACTGTGGCGTAAGCAGAGAGGTTTCAAATCTGGTATCTCTGTATAGGCTGTTGCCCTGACGGGGTACGCCAATGGATCGTTGTGGGTACACTCCCATCCGGAGAAGATATCAAGGTCTCATCGTCACTCTCGGATTCTGATAAAATACGCCTACGTTTGGCACAATTTGGCACAACGCGTATTATTATACATTCAACATATTCATCACTGACACTCAATGAACGATGTCGTGACCGTCCAGGCTCTTGAGCAATGTATTATGTGAGTATGATAAAACGCTTACTTGATTATTATTAAAAATATTTTTATTTTCAGTAAACTGTGATTCCAAATTGTCCAAATGTAAAATATCATCCTGTAACAGTTCATAGTCTTCGAAATCCATGTCTAGCACCAGTAAAACTATCACTTATAAATTTTGTCAACAAATAAAAATTACGTAATGAAACAATACACAATACTAGCCGTGATTTAAATGCGACTAACTCGTGCGACGAGCAGGAATTGGTGGCGCAAGGCCGCACCCCACACTACAATGCACAGGGTGCGAAAGAGATCCAAAAAAGCAATAAATAATTGAACGAGGTATTTCATTTATTAAAGTTTTAAAGTTTAGAAATTTGGGTCGTTGCCAGCCAACAATGCTTTAAAAAAACAAACTTTACGAAAAAAATGCTATAAAGTTAATAATATATATTTTTATACGAGTAGATAATAAGAAATAATAATCTGAAAACCAGTAATTCCGATAAATGTTTTTATCCATATTTTTTATCTATTTGATAAATCAAATCAAAACATTTTTTGCAATCACAAAATTGGTCTTAAATTAAAATTGTGCTTACAACTTAGACGCCTTTTTCAGGCACTGCAAATTTGACGAGGACACTGCAATAAGCATTAAATATTCTTATACATAGTAGTATTATTTTCTACCGACTTCAAAAAGGAGCCGGTACTCAATTCGACTGTATGTTTTTTTTTTTCGTTTTTTTTTTATGTGTGTTACCTCAGAACGTTTTTCTGGGTGAACCGATTTCGATGATTCTTTTTTTTATTTGAAAGCTGGTACTTCTCGTGTGGTCCCATATAAATTTGATTCAAGTTTGACCAGCAGTTTTTCAGTTATCCTTAATAATGCATATATAATTGACTTCGATTGCATTGACGGTATTCTCATCTGCCGATTTTTTTTCTGGGTGAACCGATTTCGATGATTCTTTTTTTATTTGAAAGCTGGTACTTCTCGTGTGGTCCCATATAAATTTGATTCAAGTTTTACCAGTACTTTTTGAGTTATCCTTAATAATGCATATATAATTGACTTCGATTGCATTGACGATGTTCTCATCTGCCGATTTTTTTTATTTTATACTTATATTTATTACTTGTCGAACGGTAAACGGAAAAACGGTAAAGGGTGGTTGAGAAGAGCATCCGTATTTCGATTCATAGTATTTCGAGGTGGTCCCATTTTTATAATTTGGTGATGTCTGAATTAAGATCTTCGGCGAAATAAAACGGAACTATAACACTCGAAAGGGTACACACTAAAAAAGCTAAAAACAAAATTATTTCTATGATACAACTTTTGATCTGACAATGAAGTTATTAGGCACCGGAACTCTGGAATAAAACATAGCATCCTAGCCATTGATAATGATTGATGATTTTAACGGTATATCTTTCATTCTAATTGCGCTACTTGAGGTGTACGAGTATTATGCGTGGTCTTCATTGTCGGAAGACAGATTTCGTAACCTCGTCATTTCTTTCAACGATTTGTCGTCGTGTGGTTTATTTAATAATTTGTTGGCGTCCAAATCTGATAAAGCTATGCCTTCCAAACTTTTAACACGACTTAGTGCCACATATATTTGCCCTTTTGCGAAGTTTTTCTTTCCAAGGTCAATCACAGCTCTTTCGAGGGTCGTACCCTGTAGTTTGTGAACTGTAACTGCCCAGCTTAATATTAGAGGCAGCATACGGCGCTCCACATCTCCGTAACCCCTTACTGCCTGAAATGTAGTACTTGATGGAGGTATGGGTACGCAACCATTACTATCTTTTAGCCTGCGACCGATAGTTTCGTCAAATTAAACGTACACGGCTTCTGGTAGCTCTCCATCCTCTAGTTGATCTCCCCTCAAGGCCGGCCATTTGATTTTTTTTTATTATACCCATAGCTCCATTTACTAGCCCTTCAGAGACGGAGATATTGCGTCTCAACATCACTCGAGATTCGACGCTAATTCTTATCGATGGCAGAAGACCACCACAGTTATTGACGTCTTTGGGAATCACGTTCTCTGGTGGTTTTCTACCATATGTCGCTACTTCACGCGACTCATCCACTGCGTTGATTAAATAAGTTCGGTGCAGCTTTGCATTTTCCTTGGTTATTTTGTCGTTGTAATCGTCGACTTGCCTGACCGTGGGAAAGATACGAACGGCGACTCCATCCGCAAATTCACCATTTATAGGCACGTGGCGCCGCTCGCATAGTAATTCCAGCTGAGCCGTCGTCAGTTCACCTACCCGTAAGCTGTTCAATAAATCGATGAATTCGCTATCATTACGCTGTCGCATGTTTATGGTCAGTTCACAAAAAAGAAAACTGATGCCACAAATTGACCTCCACCGAAAACCACGATGGCTGCACAAAACGACCAATTCCCTTTCACCGGAGGAAGCTGAAATATGTCACCAAATACTAAAATGTTGACTCCACCGAATAACTTCTCGTTGTTTTTGTATTCTTGGAGTCTTAGGTGAATTATTCTTAAGTTCTCATAGGAGACCATAGAAATTTCGTCTATGACTAGCCAATTTATATAGCGCCATTTACGCCTTTCAGTCTCGAGTCTTTGACCTGTAATTTTTTTGTATGTCATAGAATTTTTTTTTCAATCGGAAGCAAGAAAATACTATGTAGCGTTTTGCCAAAAATTTGACGAGCGGCAACCCCGGTTAACGACCCAACTTCCACAAATTTAGGCTTCAGCAGTATATCTACTGTTGGTGCGTAACAACGCTTAATGTGCTCCACGATTAATTTCAGCAGAAATGATTTACCACTGCCTGCACCGCCCGTGATAAAAAGTAACAGCTGGCTTTCTTGTCCATGCAAATCGTTTTCGATTGCCGTTGAAACTTTCTGAAATAATTCCTTCTGTTGGATATTTAATCCTCGAATGCTTCCTAGGAACAATTCATCTGATATGACGGCTCGTTCTTCCATGTCTTCACAAAAGTTATCATCGTCATATAAAATTTTTTCACCAACACATAACATGGAAGCATTGCCTATATCGGTTTCACGCGCAGCATTAAGCGCGGTAGCTTGCGCAACAGCTTGTTGAATAATTAATTCGGCATGACCAATTTGTTCTGAACTGATGTCACCCTGCAACGGGCGAAGATCCCCTTTTCGTCTTATAAAACAGTCTTCAGCGGTTTCATTTTCGAAAAGTAATTCGCCTTCATTACGAAATGCTATATGGCATACTAATAAACTGTAATAATATGCTTCTTTGTCACTATTAATTGTATAATAGCGGGTACGTAACACTGCCGGTCTATTTCTTACACGCAATCTCGTATTGTCCTGCAATCTGATATACCTCTCTGGCGTAATATCTTCGTCTCTCAGTTCCGCATCCCCATTGTCCTCTGACCATGTCGTGTTAGAGACGGTTTCAAAACGGACGGCAAATTCCGCAAGGCTTAAATTCTCCAGCTCGTTTGGGCGTAATACATAACGATCAAAAATATTATTGTAAATACTGGTTTCATCACTATCAAATCTCAGGAGTCTGTAACATTCCTCCGGCCTGCAACTATTCACAAAAACAGTCTTTCGCGACGACATTTTCAATGGCAAATGGCATAATCTGTAAGCGCATTCGGGCGCACTCACCAAGCGTTTATTTAAAATAGTCATTGATATTGAAAACAATTGTTTCCAAACATCACCACCTTGTCTCTTAGCATTCGAAATAGCTTCTCGAATTACATCACCTGTGTCATGTGGTTCGCATTTACTGGCATATTTTGCGACGTAGTAGGCCACAGCGGTGACATTACCACACGGTTGCACGTCAATATTTCCCTTCCATAGATTTAAAAGAACTGCATTGTAATTGTTTACGATGGTTTCATTTGAGGTTCGTTTCAATATACAAAATCGTCCATTGTTAGCAAGTGCTTCATCTGGTCCAAGACAAACGGTGTTAACACTTGCTGGCTTTGGAAAATCAAATCGACAACCAGCAGTTTGGCAATTTTTTTTGCATGTCGCAGTGTGTTTATGAATCTGTAAATCCTCAACTAATTTGCGCAACACAAGGTCATTAGGAGTTAATGAACATGAAACCACCCTTTCAATTACAGCAACTTCTTCTGGAGTGGTGAAATTCGGAACATTACTACACCAGACTAACATATGCAGATGTGGGCTACCGCGGTTTTGAAACTCCACTCGGTACCAAAAATCTTCAATAAGACCACCCAAGCAATCTTTATTTCTCTTTAAGAATCGCATGAGAGCGTTAACACGTACTGTGAACTGTCGTGCTAACACTACCGGATGTTTTTGCACTAGGTTCAAGCGCTCCGGGAATGACAGGCGATCGACGTCATCGATATCACGTCCATCAGCGATAAGCAAGGCTTTTATCATGTCTGGCCAATTTAAATCATTGCAGGAAAATGTTAAAAACCATGTGGGAGGCCCTAAAGTTCTAACCATGGCAATCAATTCAGAGCAACATTTCTGCCAATATGATGCCGATCCTCGAATATTTCTCATAGTGAGATGCATATTATCTACAAGTCCCTGTGGTGTTTGCTCTCCATGACCTTGTCGCAGCCTACATGACACAGATACGCTTGATTTTGCAGAAAATATTCAACAATGGATAGAGCATAAAATAAATAATCATTTCTGTTGAACCTCTTGTCAATACTCATTACCCGGTTTTGAAAGTAATCAAGGGGGGTACACGCATTTTCTCTTTCCTCGCCAAAGCCATTCCTGCCATTTGGAAAAAGAAAATACCAACATAATTCCTCCATACGGCGTTCACGTTCCAAATTCAAGGGAGGTGCAGTTTTCCTTGTGATTGCGGCCAATCTCATTGTATCATCGGTTGAAGAGCTATTCATATTAACAACATTTTCTAAATTAGGTACGTTATCGTCTATATTTTGGAGCATACCTGTTGATTCGATATAAATGGTGCTTAAGGAGTTATGGACTGGTAATGGCAACTGAAAATGGGTTGATTTTACCGGAACTGTTTTTTGGATAGACTGAATGACTTGTGTTGTTGTTTGGAGGATATTACTTGTTTGTATTATTGGTTGGAGGGAATAGTTTGGTGTAAATGTTGGACTCTCTAACCTTGACGAATGTTCCAATATTGGCGTAATCGTTTGTATTTGGGAGTCTCGAGCTGTTTGTATTATCGGTTGGAGGGAATCGTTTGGTGTAAATGTTGGACTCTCTAACCTTGACGATTGTTCCAATATTGGCGTAATTGTTTGTCTTTGGGAGTCTCGAGCTATAACTAATGATGTTAACGAGAATACATTAAGATTATCTCGAAAGTTTCCTTCTGGCACTTTTTTTGGCGACACAAATAAATTGCGACGTAAAATAGCATGCAAATCATCCAGTTCACTAAATCGCATGCAACAAGCGGTACCATTTATGGGAGCGGAAGCCCCCTTGGGACCCCTTGCATGGGAATCAAACAAAAAGTAAGTTTGATTGTCACCTAAAGTTCTGCAATGCACTGCTATCGATATGGCGTTTGCTGTAAGTATCCCATTGGAGTGTTCTCTGAAAAAACTTAATAATGCATTTTTTAAATTAGGAAATCCATCGGAAGTATTATCATTGTCTATGTGGCCATTATGATTGGTTTCCTCAAGTACTGTGATCACTAAATTTTGTCTATTATATATAAGTCTTGGACTAAGATCTGAAACAGCAAGGTACTCAGGATTTACTTCGCCGGGCGCAGGATTATCTCTAGCAGCGATGCAGTCATTATAGTATTTATCGCCAATAATTACAATATAATCAATATCACTTTTGGCCCACTTGTTTGGATCTAATACACTAAATGCTGCACAAGCAACAGCCGCTATCCCAGTACATTGCTTACCCCGAGATAAATTAAATCGTAAATCACCTTGATTAAATGATCCGCGTAATATTGCCTTGTTGTCATTTAAAGTGATATAATGTTGTGATAAAGTTTCAGAAGCAACGCCATCCTGTTCAGGAATAGAATTTTCAGCTATTTGTAATATATGAGGAATATTTAAAGTAGTTTCAAAATGTACCTGAACATCGCTGTAAAGATGGTTATTGGAAATTAACCAAGTTAATGCTCGATTCAGTCTTTGCATATCCACGACGAATTCTTTAGAACATGAAAGGTTCTCGAGACTTTCCACTACCAAAACTAAACCAGCTTGATTTGGTGTCAGTGGTAACTGTTCAGCAATTTCCACAACATCCTTTGCAAATAGAATGACCTGCCCTTTACACCAATTTTGACTGAACCGGTTATTAAGTTTTACAATCTTTAAAAACGGTACGATGCGGCTTAAAAATCGTTCTTCAACGCTCGTCAAATTGACTAATTCAGGCGGTACTTCTGCGGGCATCATTTTATTCCAATATGCAGTTGTTGGAATTTTTCTTTTCCTAATATTATTGCTACATCGAGAGCACGTAGTTATTGTACCTAAAGCAACCAGTTCTTCAGGTAATAGTATACTATACATATTTGCTCGTAAATTGGAACGCTGTTGAGGATAAAGGCTTCTTTTACAAACGGCGCATGGTACATCAGCAAAAATATTAATAGCCGCTTCAAAAGATTGTTCATTTGTGATGTCCCTACAAGCTTGATTAGCTTGTTGCATTCTACTAAGTCGATCTGAACGAGTTTCAGGTGTTTCGTTTGATAAGCGATCGCGAATCAATCCGAGTCGGTGGGCACGTTGCTCTTCCGTCTCATTCGATAGACGATCGTGGATCACACCGAGGCGGTGAGCACGTTTCTCTTCTGTCTCGTTTGATATCCGATCGTGTATGACTCCGAGGCGGTGGGCACGTTGCGCTTCCGTCTCATTCGATAGACGATCGTGGATCACACCGAGGCGGTGAGCACGTTGCTCTTCCGTCTCGTTCGACAGACGATCGTGGATCACACCGAGGCGGTGAGCACGTTGCTCTTCCGTCTCGTTCGATAGTCCGAGGGAGCCTTGCTCTTCCGTCTCTCGAGGAACGATCGTGGATCACACCGAGGCGGTGAGCACGTTGCTCTTCCGTCTCGTTCGATAGACGATCGTGGATCACGCTAAGGCGGTGAGCACGTTGCTCTTGCGTCTCATTCGATAGACGATCGTGGATCATGCCAAGGCGGTGGGCACGTTGCTCTTGCGTCTCGTTCGATAGACGATCGTGGATCATGCTAAGGCGGTGAGCACGTTGCTCTTGGGTCTCATTTGATAGACGATCGTGGATCATGCCAAGGCGGTGGGCACGTTGCTCTTGCGTCTCATTCAATAGACGATTGTGGAGCACGCCGAGGCGGTGGGCACGTTGTTCTTCCGTCTCATTCGATAGGCGATCGTGGATCAGGCCGAGACGGAGAGTACGTTTTTCGATATTTTCCCTGTACAAAACTTTTTTCATGTAAGCCCGCATTATTGAAAGCCTATTTTTGCGCTCTTCACAAGTCTCTTTTGAAATGTCAATTGAGGTAGATTTCCTCTTTTGAGATAGACGTTTCTCCCTTTATTCGTTTGTCTCATTTAAACGGTGCTGTCTCATATGAGCAGCGCGTTTGCTAGGTCTACCCATTTTCAAACAAATAAAATCAGTTATCGAACTTCAGAATCACTAAAAATAGAAAAATAAACAAAAATTTTAACAAAATAGAATACCGACTACAAAACAAAATATTTTAAAACAATAAATGCACTAAAAATTTTAAAAATAATTGCGTATTCTTGTATCTACAACTTACAATCAACTTATTTTTTTCTACTCAATGTACGATCTATGCGTTTACCACGCAAGAAGGTAGGTACCGACTTAAACTTCACATCTAACTCAACACATATCTATGATTCACAAACAATTATCAAAATATTTTTTAGAGTTCAACTTAGCAAAAATTTTCAAATATATGTGTAGACTGCTTAAAAGACAATCAAATTATTAGGATAATATAATCTACAATTATTGTCATTTTTGGAGTCGGTGTCAGCCAAGGAAATACGACAATGTACCTAGCAATAATAATACGAGAATTCCTGGAAATACGCTTTAATACGAAAATATGGTGTGACAATACCTATGTAACAACATTAATACAATAAACAAAATACCAATAACCTAATTAATCCTATTTACAAATTAACTTAAATACAATGTGATGTGACAATACCTAAGTAACAACCTTAATACAACGAAATACCAAAAATAATTAACCTATTTCCAAATTAATTTTAATACAATAATATTCTGTGACAATACCTATCTAACAACCCTAATATAACAAAATAGGTACCAATGACATTACCTATCTAACAACCTTAATGCAACAAAACACCAATACCTAATTAAACCTATTCATAAATGAACATTAATACGACAATATGCTGTGATAGTACCTAATAACCTTATTACAAAAAACAAAATACCAATACCTAATTAAACCTATTTATAAATGAACATTAATATGACAAAATGCTGTGACAATACTTATCTGTTAACCTAATACAATAAAATACCAATATATAATTAACCTATTTCCAAATTAACTTCAATACGACAATATGCTGTGACAATACCTTTCTAACAACCTTAATGCAACAAAATAACAATACTTAATTAAACCTACTTATAGACGAATATTAATACGACAATATGCTGTGACAATATCTAGCAACCTTTATACGAAAATGTAGCTTTAATAATAAACATAAGGAATTACAGTAAGAAAGACGGTGTAGAATGAAAAAGAATCGGAATCGGTTTATAATCAAGTAGCTCGTATATGTTCTTTTTCTTGACTGGCGAATGGCCGGCGTACGCGTTTGGCTCGCTCACTTCTGTAGCCTTCCCACCCTCCTTCCCCGCGCCCGCGTCGATAAGCCCGCGCCGAGTGCTGCGTCTATGTGTGTAAATTGTGTATGCCAATTGTTATCTATGTTATGATTATAGTAAGACATCTCACGTTTAAGTAGTTAGAAATATACCTTGGCTGACACCGACTCCAAAAATGACAATAATTGTAGATTATATTATCCTAATAATTTGATTGTCTTTTAAGCAGTCTACACATATATTTGAAAATTTTTGCTAGTTGAACTCTAAAAAATATTTTGATAATTGTTTGTGAATCATAAATATGTGTTGAGTTAGATGTGAAGTTTAAGTCGGTACCTACCTTCTTGCGTGGTAAACGCATAGATCGTACATTGAGTAGAAAAAAATAAGTTGATTGTAAGTTGTAGATACAAGAATACGCAATTATTTTTAAAATTTTTAGTGCATTTATTGTTTTAAAATATTTTGTTTTGAAGTCGGTATTCTATTTTGTTAAAATTTTTGTTTATTTATCAAACACTCCTCAATTGAGTAGAAGGGGTTTTGTTTTAAATATTTACTGAGGCTTGGTTGAAATTTGATTAATTCTGATATGTTTTTTATTTCCTATGGTAATTTATTATAAACTTTTATTTCCATATAGTAGGCGCTTGTATTCAGGGGCGGATCTTGAATTTGTGGGGCCCTAGGCTAATACTGCTTAAGGGCCCTACCTAATTACTCAACTAATTGCCATTTTGACAAGAAACTGTTTTCTGTAGTGATGTAGTTATATGTAATGTAATATATGTTAAGTACAGGAAAACAAAATACTTTATTTATTTATTTAAACATTATTTATTGCAAAATAAACTGACAGGTTATAAATGGTTGTTATATAAATTATAAAGCAACCTTTCTGCATTTTCGTGCTGCAAATTCTTTTATTTGGTCATCGCACTGTAATCCTTTGTTAAGTCGCAATTTATCGAAAGAACTGACAAATGATTAATGGCCGGTTTCTGAGGTACTTTTATCGGCAGTTTATCTATTCGTTAGCGCTATTGGTTCGATAACTTATGTAAATGCAATTCCGAACTTCGCAATGGAAGATAAACTCCGTTTAAGCTAAGTATAATATAACTGGCCAATCAGTGCCGTTTATCGGTTCCATAACTTTATTTGACGTTTAATTTCAAGCAAACTGTATCAACTTATTACAACGTGTTATTATTAAAATAAATTGCCAGTGAGCGCTAAATACTTAAATATTAAAGGGATAAAATTAGAAGTGCAATGAGTACGAGTAGCTCTTTAGAGTCTGATTTAAAAGAACTGGAATTTATTTCTAGTATATCAGTACCCAGAAACTTAAGACATAGGCGAAATCCTTTCGAAATGTTTACGGATGAAGAATTTCAATTGAGATATCTCTTTAATAAGAATACTGTGATACACCTAAGTGATACCATCAGCTCTGCTCTAGTACCCATTTTTTTTAAGAAAATAATTTTAACAATGCTATAAACATTACTAATATTCCCCTTAACCACTCGTGGTAAGCTTAAGTTGCTTGTGTTACGAGTGGTTCACGCCAGTAGTCGAATGGTGGGTTCGAACCCACGACCTTTTTGAGTTCGCGGTCCGCGCCCTGTCATTAGGCTACTGTCGCTACATTATGCATCGGAAGTATACATTGTCTGTGTTAGAACAAATTTTCATAGCAATACGATTTTATGCTACCGGTACTTTCCAAATAGTAATTGGTGATGACATTAATGTTCACAAAACTACTGTATCCAGAGTGGTATATAAAGTAAGCAAGGAAATAGCTAAACTAGCAAGAATTTATATAAGTATGCAAAATGTTGTAGACCTAAGAGATGTAAAAGCACATTTTTTTGTTATCGCATGATTTCCAAATGTAATTGGTTGTGTAGATGGATCACATATACCCATTCAATCTCCTGGAGGTGAGCAAGCAGAATTATTTAGAAATAGAAAAGGTATTCTTTCTATTAATGTACAAGTTGTGTGTGATGCAAAGTTGCAAATTCGTGACATAGATGCCCGCTGGCATGGATCAACACATGACAGTACAGTTTTTAATAACTCATTACTCCGAGCACGCCTGAATAACAACGAGATAGATGGTCACCTCCTTGGAGATAGTGCATATCCTTGTGGACTCTACATGATGACACCATTTTTAAATCCCGCTACAAATGCAGAAAAACTCTACAATGAAGCACAAATTAAGACCAGAAATACAGTTGAAAGGACATTTGGTGTGTGGAAAAGAAGATATCCATGCCTTTCTCAAAAATTAAGGTTAAAATGGGATCATACGTTAGCTGTGATTGTTGCAACAGCTGTGTTACACAACAGCTCTACAGTAAAATGATACTCTGGCGATTGATTACGCTTCGGAAGAAGATATTACAAAATCAATTGAACAACCTCTTCCCTGTGAAGGAAACCATTTTCGTCGTTATTGGTGGAACAATATTTTAGGTTGGAAAATTTTTCTTTTGTTAATATCTCTAAAGCTCAATTTACACAATGTTGAATGTAATAAAGCCACAGAAAAAGCAAAGGAGCATATTGGTTCATCTGATGGTAAGTGGATGCAGGGGCCCTAGATATCTACATCTATCCTCTATTAGGAATCAAAATGCAGATGCATTGTCACCGTTGAGGAGTAAGATGGAATGCCTAAAGAATCTCCGCTTGTGTACGCTCACCAAACGAAACAGCAGCATCTTTAGCTGTTAGTTCAAACTAGTATTCGGTAAGGGCATGGTCTTTCCCCAGTTGAACTGACCTATTCGTGCTACAATTATAATATATCTGCAGCAATGTTACCATGTATCACATATTTTATTTGTATTTTTAGTAAAAATACAGTGAATATAAATATATAAACAAGAATTTTAACAAATAAAAACTATAACTAAATATTAATATAGAAATTCCTGTAGAGGGCGCGGTGATGTAAACATTGTTTGTTCAAACGCTCGTCGATTTTAAAGGTGTAAAAGTGTAATCACGACAAAAATTAGACAAAATTATGTTAAAACAGTGCAGAATAGTGGAGACCCTGACTACAAGTGTTATTAAGTGAACAATTCCAAAAATAAAGGACAAAATTGCAAAACAAAGTGAGGTGAAGTGATGTGAATGACAATGACATTTTAAAGAAAAACTAGTCGATGTGCTTTAAAAATCGTGTGAACATTGAAAATTTGAGTATTTTTTTGCATTAAAAATAAAGAAATAGTTTTCCGTTTAAAATTACACCGAAAAATTGCCAACCTAACCTACAAAATCAAAATTGTCAAAGTCATCTCTAGACCATAGCACGAAAATTCGATTAGAAACTCGGCACACAACGACATCTAACGGATGACCTAAACAACAAGAAGTAGCAAAAAAGAGCGACATCTGTCTCCGCTCAGGGAAACTACTTCCAAAGCATACTTACACAAAAACGTCCAAAAGTTCACATAGTACAGCACTTTACTCACAGAGGGCATCACAGAGCTAAGGTATACAATACGGCCTAAAGTTAACAGAGGGCGAAACTATGTCGGAAATAGAAAAACTTTTAAAAGAACTAAGATTAGATATTAAAAGAGACACTGAAGAATCACTGCTGAATTTAGAGACCACTATCACGAGCAAAATAAATGATAAAATAGACCAAAATTTTAACTTCTTACAAAGGGAACTTGAACAAATAAAGGAAACTAAATCCAAACATGACAAAAGAATTAGTGCCATAGAAAAACACATTAGGCAAAGGAATGTCATATTCTTTGGGGTACAAGAAGGTGAAAAATCATATCAGGAGTTGGAAGGAACCGTGTTACAAACTATTAAAGAAGCTGGAATGTGACAGAAAAGAATTAGAGACGGTCCGGAGAATGGGAAAATACTTAAAAGACAAAGTGAGACCTATCGTCGTAACATTTACAACGTACGGCAGGAAGATTACAATTTTGAAAAACAAGAAATATATACAAACGAAAACTATTTATATGAAAGAAGATTTCCCACCTCAAATCCTAGAAACGCGTAAAGAGTTACAAGAACAGTTAAAAAAAGAGAAGGAAGCCGGAAAATAGCCTTCCTGCGATACGACAAACTTATAGTTCGAGAACCATCCATGAAAAACAGCAGAGAAACAGAAGAAGAAAAGACAAACAAAACCGAAACAGAAAAAACTAGGAAAAAGAGAGTTAGAAATAACCCCTCCCCACCAGTTAATAGATTCAAACAAGAACACCGCACAACAACAAGCAATAAAAAAGAATAAAACTCAAACAAATAAAATGGGAAAAAATCAGAGCTCTATGAAAAATTTCTTCACTAATCAAAATGTTATTTCAACTAAAAAACCCGAGGAAGGGGAAACTCCTTACTCTTCAAATGATTCTGATGAATAGCAATTAAGAAAACTCCAGAAAAATGAAAACACTGCACCCTCTAAAACAAAAAACAAACGTTATATTCCAAAGACAAACACAAAACCTACAAATCCTCCCCCAGAACGGCTCGTCACCGCGGGGGTTGTAGACGATCACCCTCCAAACCTAAAAAAATATTATATATCTACATTCAATCTCAGATCATTAGCAAATGAAGCAAGAATAGCTGAATTGGAATACGCGATATCGCAAATTAATTGGGACATTATCGGTATAGCTGAAGCGAGAAGACTGGGTTATAAAATAGAAGATAGGGGAAGATATCTTCTTTATTACTATGGGGAAACAAAGGGAGAGAAAGGTGTTGGATTCCTGGTAAAGAAACAAAACAATACAGAAGTACATGATTTTATAGCGATATCCGAGAGATTACAAGTAGGTATATACGGAAACAAATTCTCTATAATCCAAGCATATGCACATTTGGAGGAGGCTTTCACCGCAAAAGGCGGCCCTTACACCTAACAATACTAACCTTACAGCATACATAATAGTAGATAAGAAATACATACATGTAAGGGATTAAATAAAGCTAATAACAATAACAATATAAAACTAAATGAATTTATTGTACTTTGGCCTTGTAAAAATATAGAGAATAGAATTTATAAACAAGGATTTTAATTAATAAAAACCAAAACATTACAAATATTGAAGAGTCAACATCAATATGAAATTATCAAATAACAAAAACAAAAAATTTACTGTATTTTGATATAGAGTTAAAGAAAAATTTTTACAAAATGCAAAAATGGACTTTATAAGAATTTTAATTTATTATACTTTGGCCATGTAAATATATAGAGAATTGAATTTATAAACAAGAGTTTTAATTAATAAACACCAAACATTACAAATATTGAAGATTCAACAACAATATGAAATTATCAAAAAACAAAATTATAAAAAATTTACTGGATTTTGATACAGAGCTAAATAAAATCTTTTACAAAGTGCAAAAATGGACTTAGGATTTAAAATAAGAATTTTAATTTATTATATGTTGGCCATTATAAATTAAAATTCTTCTTTTTTAATTCTAAGTCCATTTTTAAATTTTCTAAAAGATTCTTTTTTAATTCTAAGTCCGTTTTTGAATTTTCTTAAAGATTCCGCTTTAACTCAATATCAAGATCCAGTAAAATTTTGTCTCTTTCTAATTTCATATGTTCATTTTGAAGTTGAGCCTCCAATATTTCTAATATTTTCGTTGTTATGGTTTCTTCATTCATTTGCTTCTGGTTTTTTCTTTTTATTATTGAAGCACTGATGCTATTCATATTTTTCTTTTTTGTTTCAGTTAAACAAATTTTTTGGTGTGATGTCAGATACCAGAAGCGGTGAAATCCTTCTTTTGGAACCTTCAACTTGTTGAAGGTTATGCACAGAATTCTTCTTCTTAATACTTCTTGAGAAGAATCTTGCGTATCGTTTAACTGTTGTGTTTCAACAATATCTGTAATTAATAAATTGCAAAAATCAGTCACTATTGTGTTATGTGTAATTTTACTATTTCAAAAAAATAGTCCCGCTGGGTTTCTTGCCGATTCTTTCCAGGACAGAGGTGTTTTTTGCGGAGCAGTGGTAAATGAAAAAAGTGACTTTTAATAAGTATTATTTATAATCTGTATTGAATAAAAAAAGTTTCTATTTCTATTTCTGTAGCTGATGATTGTACAGATCAATCTATATTCAGAAATTGGTGCATGGGTACTAAAACCACATTAAATAAATGATTATTTAATTATATTTTGTTTCATTATCTTTATCCTATTTCACATGAAATTATTAGTAAGTTTGATTAGATTTAAACTAATTTTTCCCTGTAAATTTACATTGTTAATTTTAATTGCTCAGGTTATGTATAGCCCTATGCTGAAATAGTGGATATAAGAAGAATTTAACCAAAACATCAGGTAAAAGCATGCTCAAAAAATGCTAAATTCTGATGTAATATGATGTTAGAAAAATACTAAACTTACATACCTATGGTGTAATATGATGCTGATGATTCAAAATCATTAGATAAGAGTTTAAATGGGGAGGTAATAAGGCCACAACCTTTTCATCGACTGCAGTTGTCTTAGGGCAAAATGTTCCACCTCCTGTCTTGTACAACTCGGACTGAAATTAAAATTTAACGTTCTGCATTACATATTTGTCGGATACCATTGCGTAACTTTATATGAGAATAAATTATTATTGTAAATACTCCAAGGCACTAACTGTGCCGATGAAATAGGTCGTAGAATATAATGATGTATATTATTAGTACACTACAAAGTAATACTACAGCTTGTATAGTAAAGTTCCTTCGCACTTTGTATAATAAAAAAGTTTATTAGTTCAAACAAAAATAAGCAGGATATGACCTACCTTATCATAGCTTATATTTTTTCTAGCTTTTTTTTTAAATTGTCATACAACGCATGCAATTGTTTTTCAGTTCTGATTCCCGTTTCAGAAAGAGCATTATATTTATTGGTCAACGCCATCCAAGCTTGCTTCTTGGCCTCAAAAGTAGTCCCGTCCGTCTTTTTGTTGTCAATTGTAGCCACAAATTCTTTGGCTACTTCAATTAGAAGCATCTTCTCTCTTTCCGTAAAATTTCTACTACGTTTGTCAGACTCCATAATGTTTATTTTAAAATGATAAAACCACTAAACTTAAAATCGAAAAGAGAAAAACAAACCACGCGCAAAATAAAAGCAATGAGTATGATATTTTCTTTTTAAGCAATTTGACAGTACAATGATGTCGTCCATAGAGTCTCTGATAAATTTTAAATTATCTTAATTCATTGCTAAAATAGTGCATATTCACTTATTTAGCCTCAAAAAAGAATATTTTGTGAATAATACGAGTATAAATGAAGAATTGAAATAAAAAAACCAATTTTAGACTCGATGTCTTCGATGGGTCGAAACAGACCCATCTAGTGGCAAATTATGGAACTTGTTATTAATTTCATAGTTGAACGGTTGGTTTGGTATTCAGAAACGCAATGACAGTTAACCGACGGATATCTTATAGGGAACTTCAGAAACCGGGCATTAGTCGATATTTCGACATTGTTGTCCTGAATTTGTTTTCTATATACGACATCCTGGAGAAAGAACGCTCCGCTTCACAGCTAGAGATCGGCATCGTTAAAAAAATCTTTAAGATGGTATAGCAGTTTGGGAAAACATCAACAAGTTTCTTTTCATAAATTAGCCAAAAAATTTCACTGCAAGATGTGCAAGACTCTGTCTTAGACTGCAGTGAGTAAGATTTTAACTGAATGCACCCATTCACTAAATGTTCGTCTACGTCATTTGGATAATAATCAATAATATTACGTACACTTTCCAGATCTATGTGTTCTTGATTTTTGTCTTGCAAATCCATTAAAAATTTAAATTTTTTGCTATAGGTCTCATAGGCTTGGCTTCTATTATTTAAATCCATAATCATCTTATCCAACGCAACGTTAAGCGTGTCTCTTTTAAATTATTTTGCGCTATTTACTGAGACTTTATCTATAGATTTATCTGAAAATTTTGAAGTAATGCGGTCTCTTATTTATGTCACTGTAGTCTGTTCCCACACTAGTACTTAATTTTTTAGCTTCTGATCTGATTGTTGCCTTATGTTTTTTACGAACTCTTTTAATGACACAATTAACTTATTACCTTCACCAATGTCTAAACCAGGGCTATGTACTTTTTTATTAACTACATTAAATCTCTCCAAAATTTCTTCCCAAAAAATTGCAGTTTCTAGTTTAGCCAGTTTTTTAAATAAATTTCGTGCCTCTTTTCGGAAATCACCTTTTTCATCGTCATTTTCGCCGAAACTATTAAGAATTTTCATAATGCCATCATAATTACTTTTCAAAGCTCTGACAGCATCAAAGTGACAAGACCATCTGGTCTGGCTTAAACTTTTTAACGTAAATTTTAGTTTTGTTTCACGATTTAACAGTTCCCACCTATGGGTCGAAGCAGAGAAGAAAACGTATATTTTTTGCACTATTCCAAAAAAAATTACAATTTCGGTTGCAACCTTCACGGATTCTTACCTAACTAGGTTAAGGGAATGCGCAGCACATGGCACGTAATCCGCGGATTTATTTTTTTTCTTTTAGTAATGCTTGTACACCATTGTAGATTCCGGCCATATTAGTAGCGTTGTGATATGACTGTCCCCTGCAATTATCCAGTAGTAGTCCATTTGTTTCCAAAAAGGCTTGTAGAATATTAAATAAATATAAGCCAGTATGACTATTAATTTTAATGAAAGATCATCACACGACACATCTTTCGTACAATTTTCACCGAAAACAGTATCGTAATACAATAGCAAGTTGGGCATCGTGAGACAGATCTGGGGTTGAATCCATCGTAATTGAATTACTTTGTGTCATAGTTATTTATTTCAGTTATAATTTGTTTAATTATCTGTTTACCCATAATCTCAATTATTTCCTCATATACTGTTAGATAGATAGATAGATAATGCTTTATTGCATTTGAACAAAGTTATTACAATAACGGAAAACTTATGACTACAAACGGCAGTCATATCGCTTTAACACTCCAGTACACGCGCTTAAAATAGTGACACGATTCCACGAGCGGGGCACAATTGTGGCCCAAAATATTGTGATTTTTTTTAGTAACATAGGAATAGAAATAAAATATTATAGTTTTTATATATAATCAGCCTTTATTGACTTATCAAAAAACAACAAAAAAATAGACACTTCTGTACTAAAACAAAAAATAAAAAGTATTTGGCTTCATACTGATAAAACTAAAGAAAAATGGCACTTATACTTATAATTAAGATTTTTGACATAATCCGACTATTCTTTGGGCTCGGTTACATATTTATTATAACAACCAAGGCATACAGGATATTTATGGTCATTGCACACAGGCTTCTGACACTTCTGGCAAAATGTTCTGGTCGATCTATCTTTGGCTCTTCCGCAGTCGTAACATCTGGCTGTTTTGGTTCTCTTTTTTGGTATAACTTCATCTTCAGGCACTAAATTACTCTCTTTTACTTCTAAAAACATCATGATCTTCTCCTTGATAGTCCGAGGTAAGTTTTTAGTCATAAGTCTCTGTCGCATTTGAGCCTTTATAAGTTCTATAGCCACCGAACGTAAGTAGTCGCGTCGAGATTTGCGCTGGTAATTGTGATTGACCATTGTGTCAATTATCATGCCATTGATGCCAGCGATATTTACCATGTCAAAAAATAGGGTGAGGGGCCAACGTCTACTATTTCGTGCTACACTGAAATGCTTGCACATTTTATCTAAAACGTCAACACCACATTTTGTCCTGTTGTACTCAGTAATTATTTCAGGTTTTCTTTTCTCAGCGGTAGAAAGATCAATCGTACCATCATTGTGCATGGTTGATGCCACTAAAACTACTTTTTTTGGTTTTGGTACGTAAGACACTAAAGTGCATTTCTTTTGGAAACCAAATAAGGAGTCGTTGATGGGTCTACCTTTGGATGATTTGAAATTGAGTGGAATGTCAGGTTTGTTAGATTTCAGTGTCCCAATAGCAGTAATCTTCTTCATTTCTAGTTCCATCAACAACGGTATACTGGTAAACCAGTTGTCCATGGTCACATTGCTTCCCATACCTTCGAGAGGCTTTAACATTCTGTGAACAATGTCTTTCACTTTGTTGGAGACCTGAAAAGGTCCAGGAGGTTGAGCACCGGCATAAATTTCTAAGTTGTATGCATAAGGAAACGTAACATCTACTAAGGCAAAAAGTTTAAGACCATACTTGTCTGGTTTGTTGGGAATAAACATCCGGAAACCACAACGTCCTCTAAATGCCACAAGTTGCTCATCTAGAGTGAGATACTCACTCGGTGTATAATACTTTTGTAGGTTCGATACAAAAATGTCAAAAATTTGTCTGATAGGAGCGAGTTTATCAATTTCCTTTCTGGAATCTCTTGTATGGATGTCATCAAATCGAATGCACTTTAGCAAAAAGGCAAATCGATTTTGAGACATTGTGAGATAAATAGCCTCCACTGCAGTTCCAAACCTATTGTCCCAAAAATCTTTCAGTATTCTTCGACCACTTTTTTCTACACCCATCATGAGTAACATCCCAATCATTGCCCTGATTTCAGTATAGTCTGTATTCTTGGCATCTCTTTGTCTTTGGCATTTTGTTTTTATTTTGTCGATATATATATTTGTACATCTTGTAATAATATCTATTGTCTCCTCATTAAAATATAATTCAAAACAAGAGATTGGAGTTTTGCAAGCTGAAGCGTCATTTTTGGGGCCACAAATACGACTACGAATGTTCGACGCTTGGGATCGGACGCTAGTTCTGTATGGTGTGGCCTGCCATTCAAGACCTGACTTAGATTTGTAAATCCTTAAATTGGCCAATGGAACATCCTCGTCTGAGCTTGACTCTGATAACGGCTGCAATGCAGATGGAGTATCTGGGATTATCTGTTCCCCTACATCGCTTTCTTGCTCCGACTCAGAATCGTGTCTTTCTTCTAAACAACAATCTTCTTCATCTTCGCTACTCGGCAGGTCCTCCAAATCATTCTCCTCTTCGTCCGTCTCTTCCAACCATCTAGCTACACGTTGTGACTGTGCATCCATCTTAGCAGATAATCAGACAAACTTTACAAGATAAAATACCTAAAACAAGAAAAATGTCCAATTTAATTACGAAAATCATACTACCAATAAAGAAAAATAAAAACAGTAATATGAATTTAACAAATTTACACAGATTTTTAACATAATTATCTTGAAAATAATTAAAAAAAACATAATAAATACCAAATAAGCCGCGTACCACTAGTTACGTAATTACACGCGTGGGGCACAGGCGTGCCCCAAAGATGCATAAACACTTACACAGAGCACGTCCGAGCGCCGGCACAGTCGACGCGTCACTGACGCTCACGCGAAGATATATGCAACAGCTACTTAAAAAAATCAAAATCCTGGCTGTTAAGTTTTGTGATTTACAGACAAAAATATGCAGCGGGGCACGCCTGTGCCCCGCGCGTGTAACGGAGTGTTAAGCGATTTCTTTCTGACAAACCGAACATAAAAGGACATTATAATTTTATATTTTGACGGATAGGTGCAACGTGCAGTATGAAATATACAGGAAAAAATATTATAAAAACTAATATTTATAAAAATAATATTAATACTATATAGAATATTTAATGATTATATATTATTATATATATACATACATACATAGATATAAACATACATATACATATATATGTACAATAATTTTAATTTAATATATTCAAATATATACTGCATAGAAAATTTAACAAAAAAAAGTATATATGAAAAGAGGAAATACATATAATTTATTATTATGACAGGAACTTCAAATAATACTCCTTAAGTAGTTTTTTAAAAGACTGTAAAAATTGCGCTTTCTGAATGTTAAATGGTAATGAATTCCAAAGTCGCGTTGCTAGTGAAGTAAATGATTTATTATAAAATGAAGGTACGTTGTAAGGAGTATTTAAAGCCAAGCTGTACACTGAACGCAAATTGCGGTTATGAAATTCATGTCGATAGTGAAATTGTTCCTTAAGGTACCTTGGAGATTTCGGATCAAACAGTACACAAAAAAGTAAAGAGATTACTGTTTTGGATAAATATGATATTACATGGTTTGGTCGCAGCTCTCGTTGTTCAATATGTTCACGTATGAATGGGTCGAATTCTGCCAATAGCTCTCGAGCACCTATAAAATTACCATTATGTGGAGAACCAAATATTTTCTCGGAACCTCTAAGTGCTAAGCCTCTTATACTTAAAAATTTTATCACTGCAATAACCCGTTTTAGGACATTGTGATAATATTCTGTTTCTTTATTTAATTGCTCCTGAAGCTGCTTGTCTAAAACAGGCTTATTTTCTTTTCGTGTCAACCACACTGAATTCTTATGTTCATTAGAATTTTCGTGATTTTATAAACAAAATCCTATGTGTTTCCAATCATAAAATCCGGTTGTGTATTGAGAAGGAGTTTCAGAAAAAAGTTTACAAGTCAAACAAAAAACAGTACCAACCCTTTTTGAATAACATAACCAAGATCTTTCCAGTTATTGGCCATTTTTCATTTTTCTAGTGAAATACCTATTTGAAAAAGATCTCTTTTGTTCTTTATATATCTTCATTGAAGCTGAATATATATTCTTCGGATCTTTATTTTGAAAGTCAGTCATTTCATGTGAGAGGACGAAATTAATAAAATCATTATTTAACAAATCTGGCCACAAGCCCACGTCAACATATTTCTCAAACTCAAACTTAATATTTTCTAAATTTATTTCCACCTCGGTATCGGTATTACCTTCCTTTTGCTGAACACCAATTTTATTTTCAGAGGAACCAGAGGGTTGCTGGAAGTCAAGATATTGCACATTTTTATCGTTGGTATTTTTTTTCTGGTTTTGCGATTTTTTGCTTCCTTCGGTTAGATTCTCTTTGCATAAAATACTTTCTTTTAGTTTTTTAATGGATTTATAGCTATTTTATTTGCGTTTATATGTTCTGATTTTAAAAAAAATTTCAATTTTTGCGCATTTATTTCTTTTTTTTTCTCGAACAAACTGTAATTTTCTTTATTCAGCTCAACTTTTATAAATTCTTTTTACTTACCTACTGCCTATTAAAAGCAGGAAGTCTAGTTATGCTGAATACGTTCAATTTGAGTAAATTAAAAGAAAGGTCCGGTCCTCATAACTTTTAAGTTATCTATCACTTAGTAAACTAAACACACGGACTAAACACATTTCTAACAGCAACAAAGTAATTTCGTTAATATAGACGACTACTCGACGATAACAGAAGTGCGGAAAAATAACAAAATTGCGTCGGGCGATAAGCGGAGGGAAGTCCCCAGTAAGACAATACACGGAATACACCGACCGAAAACAAGCGACAGGGGATTCCCCGTTTCGTTTGATAGATGCGCACACGGGTTGATTGATCGTAATGTTGTCAAACTTATGATCGTTTTTTTTAATTCTAGATAATTTTTATTATTAACAATATCGTCTATTGGTTTCAGTTCGGTTGGTGGCTCTCTGTATTAGCGGGGCCCTGGGCTGCAGCCCAAAAAGCCTTTAAGTAGATCCGCCCCTGCTTGTATTTAACATTTTTGTCGCGACTGTGGTAGGTATAATTTATTTTCGTTACGTGTATTTATGTTATGTGTATCTTTAATCTTCTTGAAAATAATAGGTCCTTACATATGAAATTGGCGCTTTGTACGGGAGGATTACGAATTCAATAAAAAAATTATTTATCAAAGTATGAATCGTTGTTACCTATGCACTTTTGCCATCTTATAGGTAGTTTATTGATCCCTTTACTAAAAAAAAACCATGGGGGCGAGAATCAATAAACTCTTTGAAGGTGGTTTGGACTGCCGCATCGGAGTTGAATTTTTTTCCTTGTAAGAAGTTGTCCTAATTCCGGAAAAATGGTAATCTGTTGGAGCAAGGTCCGAGGAGTACGGTGGATGTCGCAGACATTCCAATTGTTCCATTAAAGAGCGATCTTTCCACGTTAGCACCGCTTCATCAGAAAAATCCAGTGAATCGTCAACGTCAGCCCCGCCGCGGTCGTCGGAGAAGAAATGTATTATGTGCAAGGATAACCACACGTTATATGTCACTGCAAAGAATTTACCAACCTGCAACCTTCACAAAGAGTGGATTATGTGAAAACACACAAATTGTGTTTCAACTGTTTAGTCCCGGGATATGCGGTTCATAAATTTCGACTCCGTATGTTCCGTCGTATATGCAATAGACATCATTCTCTTCTATACCAAGCTGAAAGGAAAGAAATCAATTGCAAAGAAACATCATACCAATCAGCGTCACATTGCAACCTAGAAGAGAGGGAAGGCATTCAAGTCAATTCAATGATAGCGTCACATCATACCACTAAAAACAAGGCGTTATTAGCAATCGCTATGGTGAGCGTTCGAAATAAGCAAAATTACACCATGATATTAAGGGTGCTCATAGACCAAGGATCGCAGGCTTCATTTATAAGTGAAAAGGCGGCTCAAAGATTAAGGCTCAACAAACAACCTGCAAGAGGAACTATGATAGGAGTGGGGTCTACTAGAATAAATTTAAATCACGTGGTATAGTTTCAAGTAAGTTGCCGCGATGCTAAAGATTTCAACTTACCTGTTAAGGCCTATGTAATGTCGAAGCAACTTACCACGAAGATACCTGCTAGGACAGTTGCTGCAAATCACTGGTCACATCTAGAAGGTCTGAACCTCGCTGATCCAAGCTACTATGCACCAGGCTCCATTGATTTACTTCTTGGAGTGAAAGAATATGCACAGATACTACAACCAGATTTAATCAAGGGTCACCAAGCGCTCTGAAAACCAACCTTGGCTGGATCTTATTTGGAGAGGTCGATGACAATATACAACAAGACACGTTTCTGGTCATGCACCAGCAAGTAAAAATAGATGAAGTTTTAAAATCAATATGGGAAGTAGATACAGATACAAAAAAAAACATTAACTAGAGAAGAACAGTTATATGAAAAAATATACGAGAAAACACACAAAAGGAACGAAGAAGGGAGATACATGGTGAAGTAGCCGTTTAACACTGACACACCGAGGTGTACAGAAGGAAATACAAGGGATATAGCAGAGAAAAGATTGCTACAACTAGAGAGACGATTCAAGAAAATGCCTGAGCTAAAAGAAGACTACACTAATGTGATAAAAGAATACCTGAGTCTACAACATATGGAAGAAGTACCTAAGGAAGAAAAAGGAAAAGAAAAATGTGTATACTTACGCCATCACGCTGTTCTTCGCGATGATAAAGAATCCACGAAAACAATATTGGTGTTTGACGCTTCCTGCAAGGGGTCGAATAATCCCTCGTTGAACGACGAACTGCTCGTAGGTGCTCCACTACAAGAAGATCTTAGTAACCTAATAATGAGATGGAGAATGGAACGCATATGTTATATGAGCGATATAAAGAAGATGTACCGTCAAATATTGGTGTTCCCCGAAGATGCTGATACTTACCAACGAATCCTTTGGCGCTCAGACGCATCCGAAGATATCAAATATTACAGAATTCTTTGCGTGACTTTCGGCACCGCATCTACTCCCTACCTTGCGGTTCGAACTCTTCATCAAATTGCTAATGATGAAGGCAAGAATCATCACAAAACGGCTCAAATAATTAAAGAAGAGTTCTATATGGACGATTTGATTAGCGGAGCCGATACTGTAGAAGAAGCTGTAACTGAATCCATTGAAGTTGATCAAATTGTAAAGAAGGGAGGTTTCACTCTGACTAAATGGGCTTCAAATAATCTGGATTTCATGCAATCTATCAAACCAGAAGATCGATCCAGCAGTGCACATTTTAACCTAAACATTGATGGAACCGTAAAGGCCCTAGGTATTAAATGGAATATGGGTACAGATAAATTTAAATATGAAGCTCTCTTACCACCCATTCAAGCAACTGTCACCTCTGACTAAATGGGCTTCAAATAATCTGGATTTCATGCAATCTATCAAACCAGAAGATCGATCCAGCAGTGCACATTTT